TAGAAACACTTACTGGAAGATTTGTATCCTTTGATGTCTCCATTGTGTTATAACATGAATAATCATTAGAACCTTCACAGGTGTCTGACATTTCACTCAATCTATTGATTCGACTTCTGGTGAAGAAACTTTGCCTCTCCATCTTTTCACTGTTAGAACTCTTAAATGTTTCTGCAGAATGATGAGTCAACAGAGAGGCACATTTTCATCCTGAGGCGCTGATGTGAAATCATTCACAGTTGCCAAGAGTGTAGATTTTAATTGAATTCGTATCTCATTTTTAGATTGGTCCACAAAGTCTCTCTGATCTAGATCATCTAAAATGTAAATGGTTGATATTGATTGCTCCAGAGTGAGAAGATATTTAGTAGTTTGTAGTTATGTCTGACTCCTTGCACTTTTAAAGAACCATTCTTCCTTTTATGGCTTATCAACAAGTTCTGTGTCGTGATCGGCTATATCAGTGCTGAATTCCTAATTTCTTCCCACAGATTAAAAGATTACTGATTAATTTCCACTTGCATTGAAGGATTGTTATGGCCTCAAGGATCAAATTAAACCGTTGTGTCCAAACCTTTGATCAGATCTCCGAACCTTGTTTTCCTTCAAATATATACCTTTTTATTTTAATCAAAACAGTGAGAGTCTAGAGAACTGACCAAAGGGAACAAAGGACAAAGGACTTTTGGGCCCTAGGACTTCCATCCTCAAAGAAACCAACAAAAAAAACAAAGAGCAACAAAACTAAACAAAGGCTGTCAAAGGACTGCTTGGTAAGGACAAAAAAAGAAAAGCCTCCTTCTCCTCCAGCCTTCCTCTAAATATTGGAGAAGAGGACAGATCAATACCACCTGAACAACAAAAAAGAAGAGAAAAAACACAAGAAGGGAAGAGTGCGTACCAAGGATAAACATGTATTCTGTTCAACTCTACCGACTCATTCATTTGAAAATGCCGTAGATTAGAACCTTAAACAGGAAGAGCAACTCCTCCGTGAAATACCGTACATGCTGTCTGATTTATTTCACCCTTTACCATTTTAGGGGGATTTTATGTTGAGCCTGGCTTTAGTATTCTGAGATCTGATCCATCAGATGCCTCTTCACCTCGATGTTTGGCATTTCTCCAGTGGGGAAGTTGATGGAGATGTATCTGAGCTTTCATCACTGTGCTGTTTGGGGATTTGTCTGCTAAGCCAGTCAGCTAAGCTCACTCTTACTCTCTCTTGGCTGGGCCTTACTTGTCTGGCAGCGTGGTATCCTTCTTTTTTTTTATCATTGCCTACATGGTTTGAATAAGATGCAGTTCTTTTTAACCAGAACATAAGACCTTTCCCCCTGCTCTAGATGTCAAAGAAAGAGGTCTGTGGGGACATTGCTTTTTATCACAGAGACTCATGGTCTGAGGGTTGTGTTAGAGGAAGAGTTGAAAGGGGGAGATAACTTAAAGGTTTCTACAGCCGGATGGGAGCGGTCCAATTTCCCTTCAGTAGATGACACGGCTCGATAATAGAGACCCTGCAAGCCCTCTGTGTTTGTTGACATAGACACATACCGCAATGTTTCTGCTAACCTCATTAACCCGCAGCATAATGTCTAACCTCACTGACATCCGGGTGCATAATGCCGCCTTTTTTCAGAAATGTTCAGAAATAACTTAACGTTTCTGAGCTGCTCATTAGCTCTGATAAGCACATTGTCATGGATTTAGCTATTGATGCTAACTCTAACTTTAAAAGTGGTGGCAAGGCTGAATTTATATCATGAGTAATTAAGGTGCTATGCAGTTGTACATTAACTTAACAATAACACATTGAAATACAATAGTAAAAGCTTAATTTCAATAACCAAACAAAACTATTTATAGTTTGGGTTTTATCTGATACATTACAGAATTAAAATCTTAATCTGCCTTATTATACTTCTTGGGGATTTCCTTTTCCTGTAGTGTGTTATATAGGTTTTGTGCATGTGGATGCACACACTCCCCCGCTGCCTGAAACGCCTCCATTGGAGTCCTTTGTTTACTTCTGTAACATAGTGACATCACTATATAACACTCACTCTTTTATTGGCTAGCACTCCAACACATTGTAACACTCAGGCTTTTATTGGCTAGCGCTCCAACACATTGGACGTGATAGGCTAAGGAGCGGCGCATCTTTAAGCGGTTGACCAATCACATCAGAGCCAGCCAGCTAACCAATCAGAGCAGACTGGGCTCTGGTTTCAGGCAGAGGGTGAAAAGAGGTGCTGCAGCACAGGCAGTATGAGAAAAATAAAGATCTTTCTGGACATTAAAGTATGGAGACATGTCACAGTAGAGGCACAAAATACAAATATAAGCCTTCAAATTAGGTTAAAAAATAACTGGTTTCTTGCTGGTTGATGTTGGTGTTCTGGGCCTTTGTGCTGATACCCTCCACTGTTGGCCCTTCAGAATCAGTGTTGGTTTTTTGGCTTCAAGTGACCCCAACATCACTCTGTCTATCATCTCTTTGACCTCCAATCTGTCCTGATTCTGCTGAGACAGCACTTACATCAGAAATACTTAAATAACTCTTTCTCATATATTTAGGGTTGGACATTTTTCTGTAAACTGTCCCTATTATTCATATTTTAAAGTTGTTGTCCATGGTGTCAATCAAAGGCCAATAACTGGTTGCCAAAGGCAATCTGGCAAAAACAAGCACGTATATATTCTTCTTATAGTTTTGCAGCAGCAGCGTGTGTAAGTTTGTGTGTTTGTGATTGTATGAGTCAACGCAGATAACTGTGTCTGGTATTTTGAAAGTCTGTGAAGCAGGGTCGAGAAAGACAGCGTCTTATTTACCACAAGACCTCAGCCAGTGTGGCTCCTACAGTAAAGGACAACACAAATACCACAGAAATGTCACTGAGTGTATAGAAGAGACCTCTGATAACACACAAACCGGCACATACCAAACTCACATGCACACAAACACACCCTAGCACACATGTTAACAGAAACAACATTTGCATAGTTTACAACTAATGTGTGGTTTTGCCTGGTTTTCCCTTGTCTCACTGTGATAAATTACCCAAAACCACCAAGTCCTTTAATACGGAGGCAATTGGCCAATTAGAAAGCTCTGCCTGAGGTATCGTTCTGTTTCTTCTTTTACCAGTTGATATTTCCAGTTTAATTATATTAACAAACACCAACAACTCATTAACCTTTATTTTGAACAACATTGGGGAAAAAAAGGAAGTGCAGTGTTAATTGTGAAGAGGTAACAGCTTGTAGTAATTATTAAGGTTTTGTGGAAAGCCAAAACACATAACAATGAAGCTTTGTTTCTTATTTATAAACGTTTATAACAAGCTGTGGACTTGTTTTCTTCTTCACTCATTAAATCCCTCATTCCAATGTAGTGATGAGGTCTTCAGTCACTTGTAATATATAGAAAAGCATCAAGGATTCATAATGATCTTGAGAAAGCACATAGGTTGCACAATTACAAATATTTTTGTTTACGACCACAACATGGAAATGAATGAATGAGATGAAGGTCATTACAGTGAAGATTTGAAATACTTTTCCATTAGGCAGCTGTCTTTATGGCTGTTGTGTGAATTTAATGTAGTCTGCAAGTCTCATAATTATAACTTGATTTTACGGCGCATAAGCTACATGTTGATTATTTTGATTTGAGCATTTGCATTAACAGAGAACAACAGTATGCAAATAAGATCGTTTTGCAAGCTTCAAATATTTATTTTAATTTAACAAACATTTTCAGAAACTCTTTTAGAATTATGCTGGGGAAACACGGTAGAAACCTGAGGCTATGTATATGGTTTGTTATCAACCCGATCTCAAACAAAAAATAACTAATTGGAATCAGAAACATAAAATCACCAAGGTTGGTGTGTACTTTTTTAGTCTACTAAACAGTTAAAGACCAGAATCCACTCCAGGCTGTGATGCAAACTAAAATGTGATTGTATGGTTATGTTGAGGCTAGGGTTCGGGGAAAGATTGTATAAATATTGAAAGTGAACTCTCACTAGATGCACAAATGGAAACTTAAACTTCAAATCAGATGAGGAAGCACAATGCTTTTTAAAACAATATCCAACCTCCTGGAAGTGTGCTGACATTAATGAATAATGTATCAACACATATAATAGAAAAGAAGATATAATAGAAAACGCATTTCTGTTTTCAGAAAGAAAGTGCATTGGTTCAGGATTTGCTCTTTGTGGAATAAAACAAAAAACACCCTGTCTTGTTTAAGCATCTTTCTTGTATGGAGTGCATATTTTCCAGCTTGGTTGCTTTTGGTCTTGTGTCCATTACTGCAAAGCTTTACCCTCAAGAGGTTATATTTTTCTCCACATAAAATAGATCTAGTGTAGAGCTAGACTCATAACATGTTCTTTCTCCGGCAGGTTATAGTGTATTATCTCTTTTGCGCTCCCCTTTGCTCCCCGACTTATTCCTTCATATTCACCTGCTGTGCAGGATATTGTTCGTCTGTTTGCTGAGGCTGCACACTCTCTGGCTGCCAGCAGAACTCTATTATTGTCTCTATCTTAGTTTCCCCCTTCAGCCGCACACAGGATATCTTTGTTGTGATTATATTACCTCCTCTGTCTCCTTGTCACCGTTGTCACTGGAGGTCTTTTTTTTTTTTTTACTTTGAACAAAAGTTGACTTTCAATGTCTGTCACTGAATCTCAAAGAAATGATGAGGAAGTCAGCACCTGCCAGTTAATTGTATTCGAAACTCACTTCCCTTTATTTGATTTATTCACTCCTTTTTTTAGCCTGATTTCATTCTTATGCCTTTTGGATTAAAAAAAGCTTAAAATTATATTTATCGTTGTCACTTTGAAACCCCAGAGAAATGGGCTGACTGCCTGTTCTGCATCTGAGGATTCATTTAAGGAACGCTGCCAGGCTTCGATTCTGTTCTGCATCTTATTCACATTCCTTTTTAAAAATCTTCTGACCTATTTTATTTTATCTCTCAGGATATTCTACGTCTCTCATGACTCGCAGGATCTGAAGATTTTCAGCTACATCGCCAGAGACGGACAGAGTAATGTTTTCCGCTGCAACGTTTTCAAGTCAAAGAAGAAGGTAAGAAAAGCAGCGGGTATGTTTTAAAAGTTTCAAACTTTTAAGTTATAAAATACCTCTGAAAATGTGTGGACAGGAGACCAGCTCCACTGCAGTTGGGGGGCTTCCATGTGTGAAAGTAGAGCTTTGAACTGCCTTCTATACCCTATACAAACTCTTAAATATTTAAGAATTTTTAACCAATTTCCAACTTATTTTGAAAAATGGCACGCATCCAGTTTATCTAGACAAACTCAGCGATTTCCACGCTGCTCTTGTAAATCTTGTAAATCTTGTAAATCACACTGATGTTGGTTATTTTGTTGACATAACAAAAAATATACTTCATTTTATTATAAAATAAAATTGATAAATCTCATTGTTATTGGCTTTATTATGGATTTTTGACAGTGTGAACACGTGAAATACATTTGATTTTTGCCACATTAAAATGTTATGAGACAAAGTGATGGATTTTAGTGTTTGGGTTTCTGCATGAGTTGCAATAAATAAGTCACCAAACCTCTGTATTTTACTGGCTATTAGTCATGTATTCTTTAAAGCAATTCCTTCTCCTCTTTTAAATCATCTGTCTGAGTCACACACTGACAACCTCCAATAAAAACACACACGGCTGGTGGGCAGCAATAATTCCGCCCGGCGACACAGGCTTGTCATCGTTGAGGTCTGAGGGATCGCTCGGAAACCCATTTGGGGGGAAGTGTTGCCGCAGAGCTGAGCCGGGCAGAGTGTGTCAAAACAGTCCAGCAATGTGACAAAGTTAGTGCTACCAGTTTCCCAGGGTGAAGCACACACTGCCTCATTATCTGTTACAGAGAGACGGTCATATCAGCACACACACACACACACACACACACACACACACACACACACACACACACACACACACACACACACACACACACATACACACACACATACACATACACATACACATACACATACACATACACATACACATACACACACACACACACATCCTGTTCCGAAGACAAACTGGAAAGTGACACATACCAAAAATTCTCTGCGGCAACCACGACCATTAGAGGCCATTAAGCTGAAATCCTGTGTGTGTGTACAGTATGTGAGCTCATAGATGGAAGGATCCTGCGGGGGATTTCTGGGCAAGATTTATTTTCTTTTTAAAGAGATCACCCTCATATTTGACAGTTCAAATCTCATTAAATGTTGTCTACATCTGGATAACCTTCTAATATCAGTTATTAGTATGGAAACCTTATTTCAAATTAAAATATATTTGTATTAGACCCAGCTAGAAAAACACCTGCTTTAGTCACTAACAGTGAATAGAAGGTCTATAAGAGATTATTTCTTTGTGGATTTCTATTGCATGGGTGATTAACTGCTGACAGAGCACCGAGCACTTTGGAAACAGTATAACGGGTACAGCAAAATAACTATAAAAGTAATTATATTGAGTGTTTTCATCTTTCTTTCAATTATGGCTATATGAAAAGAGATAAAAACAATTAAACCATCAAATATATTATTTACTTTTAACATAGTTTGTGCACCTAATAGGAATAATGAAATGCTTTAAAGGTCCCCACAGTGTTGCATGACAGGGAATGAAACTCAGAGTTTGGTCCATTATTGAACCAAACAATGCAATTGGGCCCCAAATATTTTGGGAAGCCAATTTCTTTCAGCATGTATACTCTGCAGTGGTTAGATTGTATGGCTAACTGCACATTTTGTGAAGAATAATACCTAGAGCATCAGATTGCCTGTTATCAGAAGTATATCATTGTGTACTTGACACTGAAACAGGAAGCTGTTCCCATTCAATCTGCACATATTTGTTATGCTTAGCCTCCGGCTTGCTTTCACAAATGACTTGTTATTTATTTTCTATTCTTATTCCAACTGATGCTCAGAGGTATATTTGTCTCTTTCTGCCCTTTCAATCACCAATCTGTTTGAAAAATACCGTGGTTTGTTCTCCAGCTACAATACAAACCCCTTTTACACTATATTTGAAAGAGGACTTTCTTCCACTGAAACACATGAAAGCCATCTGACTGTACTCAATAAAGCTTTTGTAGCTAGTGTGATTTCAAGAGAAGAAAAAGGCTTCACAAAGACAGCGTAGAAAGACATAGCAGATTAAACAAGACAAAAAGAGAATAACACACCATAATGAAAAAAAAGAACGGGCTTATACAAATCAAGTGTGCCATTAAAAACGTCATCTGAAGCAGTTTTGTTTTGTGTGTTTGACGTGTGGAAGGTTGCAAGGAGAAGATTTAGCAGACTTTATTTCCCTCTTAACTACCAGCAGTGAAAGTATGGCTGCGGTTTAGATCAGTCACATAAAAAGGCTTTAGTAGCCTATCAGTTTTAACACAGGAACAGGCTGTGTGTGTTTCTCTCTCTCCCATTCTGACTCATACTCTCTCCCCCCCACTTCTTCCTCTGATTGATGGTTTAAAGGGGGCTAATGAATGACCCGTCCTCTATTATGTAGAATTGAAGTGAGAGTGATAGAGCAGAGCTTGGAGAGTGTTCATGGAATACAGAATGCTGCTGCGGCTGAGAGGTCAACGTGTGTATTTATGTGTGTGTGTTTGTATATAACCCTCTGAAAAATATGTATTTTTTGAAAGGGTTAATTAGAAGAGACAGTTTTAGTTGGGAAAAACTGTCAGAGCGTAGGGTCAAGGAAGGGTCTCGGTCCAGGAGGTTGCACAAACACACTTTAGTTTTCCCCTCAAGTATAACACTCAAACCTTTTTCTCCTTACTTATATAAGGGTGTTGCAGTAAATACGTTGAAGAAAAACATTAAGGCATTTACTTAATTGAAAGACATTTTACAGCGGTAAAAATGTACAGTTACCATAGAGACAGTTTCTTGGCTACCACTTACCTGTTGTGTCAAAAAAATGGAAAAACAACCAATAGTCAAAAGATGCTTATTTTGCATATGCATTGGGTTCTTCTCTTCCCGGGATGAAGTCATTTTTCTTTAAATCTATTCCACTTACATTATTAAACTTGTAATTAAGTGTGTTTTGTGAAAAAATACTTTATTTTAAGGAAAACTTAAGGAGATCTCCTAGGGGTGTTTGTGCAAGGAGGAAACCTTAACTAAGACAATAAAGAAAATCATAACTTCATGTGTTTGTGCATGGTCATTTTCAGATATGGGTTGGGGTTCTGTTGTCTGACTACCTTTTTGATTTGCATCACCATTACATTGACACTTGTCTGGGTTTTCGGGAAACAACTCAACAACTTTTGGATGGTTTGCCATTAAACTTAGTATGCCAAATATGTCCCCCATAGCACGTGTCCTAATGACTTTGGTGATCGCCTCACTTTCCCTCTGATGCCATTGCAATGTATGTAACATTCTAATCAGTTGTACTAAACTCAGATGGTGTTGACATTGTTGTTATCAGCATGCAATGCTATAGCATTTAGCTCAAAGCACCAGTGTCTTTGACAAACAAACATGTTTTTTTTTTAATAATCTATTCTACGTCTGCTTCTTTTACTGAGGCCAAATACCACAACATGGAATCTACACCATAGGATGTGTTGGTACCATTACCCCATCTGTCCAATCTCGCATACCATCACCAATGAGGCAGTAAAGCCTCATTGGTGATCACACTGTCCCGAAATTGACACCAAATGGACACACGATAAAGGAAATGTTCAAATTCGGCTCTGATCGTAACATCGAGCCATTCGTGAGTGCATCTTAAGCCATCGTATGACCGCTGGTGGAGTTTCTCAGGCTCCGGCAGCAACTTCGTGAGCGGTGGCAAAATCTTTGACATGCCAAAAAATTGCCGAAAGACCTTGCGAAGGTTCATTTTCGTGTTGAATTTGTGTGTCCATCTTGCCCTTCGTAAGGCCATCGTGAGGGCATCTTGTCAAATCGTGTCATCTTCGTCTTTACTTCGTGTGATCATCGGTGCCATCGGGCATTTTTCGCCTCACGAAGACAATACGAAGGAAACAAGAAGCTGCCCGATTGTCTTAGGCAGGCAACACGACTATGTGAAGCCCTCGCAATGCCGTCGTGTAGCCATCGTATTATAGTACAATTTGTGTTCTGTGAAACTGAAAAGGATATTACATTGTTTTTGTTACTTTCGTTGCAGTTGTATGTCTTAAATGTAATTTAGGTTAACTTCCTGTTTTATTTAGATGCTTTTATTTTGAAGGCGAGTTTACGCTGTTGACAGGAAGTTGTTGTTGCTATGGAAACAACATGACAGAGTGTGGCCTTCTGTAGGCATCGTACTTGCTTCGGCTGTTGCTTGGCTGTTGACCAAGTTCGGGGCCATCTTCGTGCGAAATTCACAATTCCATATTCGTGTGTCCATCTGGTGTCAATTTCGGGACAGTGTGACGCGGGCTTAACACATTACCAATCCAAGCCTAAAGAGAGACATGCATGAAGATAACAAAGACGCTGCATTAAACCTGCTTACGGTCTTTTAAACCTACTAATGTAATACAGCCCGACACATCCCATCATTGCTGCTAAATGGAAATCTTGAAGCTGGCAGCTGAGCATTTTTATGTTGTTATTGGTATACTTATGCTCATAGGCCACATGATTCTTTTAATGCAACTGCACTTAACACCTACAGGATTGCGGATGACAAAAACAACTAATAATGGACCTATGTGAGTTGGAAAACATTTTTCTTGATGATTGTTTATATATTTATCCGGTTTTGATGAGAAAACATCTCGTTCTCAGCTAGGTGATGAAAAGAACGGGGAGTTATGGTTGTTGTGTCAAGTGTTAATTCACTTCTCTCTAACCTTGTGGGGTCATTCAGTGTCAGCTAATGGCTTATACTTATATAGACTTCGATTATGATTGGAAAGCCAAAATATTCCTGATATGCATATAAAAGAATTAAAGAAAAAACCTACTTGTTCATAGGTAGTTGCATTGGATAGGATTGAGTAAGATTCAGCATAAATTAAACTGGTTTCAGGTAGTATATTGTT